AGTATGGCTACTTTTTGTCTCAAGTCTTACCATTCATTCAAATTCTTGTGAATGACTTGAACGCAGAGTTACTGACAGTTATTATCTCATAAACACATCCATAGTTTGGTTACGTATTCCATCACTCGAAGCCGGATTACGTGGTAATGAATAAATGGCTGTCCAATGAGCCCAAGAATATTCCGGACTACGCGCACACTAACATCGGCGTCGGTATTGAATATAAAACACACTCTAAATCCATACGAAAAAAGTGTACAAACTTTTAATCACACGATAGGAGGGCTGGTAGTCGATGACAAGGACCGGGTGCTGGTCGTCAAGGAGAAGCACTTTTTCGGACCGAAACAGATCTGGAAATTTCCGGGCGGTTACGCCATTCAGGGCGAGGATTTCGGACAGACAGCCGTCCGGGAAGTGCTCGAAGAGACGGGCATTGAATGCGAGTTCCAGTCAGTGATAGCCTTCCGACACATCCACCGGTTCGCCTTCGGCTGCAGCGATGTCTACATTGTCTGCCATTTGAAGCCCAAAGCCGACAGTGATTCAGATGGAAGTGATGGAAATGGATTGGTGGTGAAGAAGTGCGCGTACGAGATAGACGACTGCACCTGGATGTCCATCCCGGAGCTCAAACCACAGTTGACTCAATTCAATGCTCATATACTCGAGAAGTTTCTGTCGTATAGGGAAATGGGTGTCAAAATCGGTTTAGAGTCCATTCCATCGATTATCAAGAATATTGATCACCAAACCTATTCCATACACAAAGTTCTTTGACCATTGGTTCCGTGTTATTGATTCAATTAGTTTTTTAAATTTGAAAATTAGTTTTTATATTTTATAGTAAATTAAATGAACTGTTTTCTACGAGTACTACAATTGATTGAATACTTAAAATGACATGTTTTCTAATGAAACTTTTCTAATGCTTAAGAATTTATACCATTTTGTAAGTGCTATGTTAATATAAAATTTAAATAAATAAATTCTATTGCAATAATTCTACAATTATTTATTTCAAATAAACAAATGTAATTTTTGTGTGTGTATGGGTGGGGTGGTATCAAAGAATCTGGTAAGTACACTGGTAATATTTAAATAACTAAATATCAAAAGTAGCAGGAATAGTTATCTCACGTTTCATTAGAGCCTAACATAAAACGATTGAATATTTTATACGTTAAATACTTGTGCCGATGATTATGGCGAGTGGCAGCGATAGCACCGGTCGGTCCCGTCAAACCTACCGATCCAACGACCGATTCCTGAAGCAACAGCTCGTGCGGGCAGTGAGAGACCATGTGGTGAAAGCCAAGCTCCTGGACTACACACTGGCACCGGGAACGCAGCCCCTGTTGCATGAGTTGGTACAACACGTCAGTCAATTATATTCGTTGAGGAGCTCTCGCAGGACGGCCTCACCTGATGACCAGGTCTTCATCGATATGAAGATCAATGAGAAAGAGTTGAGTATCAAAGACGTCGAGAAGCAAATCCTGAAACAACGGGTCGCATACCAGTCCCACAGCCAACCCGTGGCAGCGCAACCCCCGCAAAGCCTGTGAATACCGGTGCCAATGAGGAGTCAGAGTAGTGATCGTTAAACTTGACCACCAATTCCCGAGACTAACCATTCAATTAGTTTTTGATAAAATTACTGAAATTTATATATTTATAGCAAAATTAAATGACTTTTTATGTGTAATACAAACTAATTGTATGAATTTGACTCAAACTTGTTTTTGACTAAAATTTTATTATTTTGTTCATTGAATTATAGAAAATAAACTTATAAATTCTTGGGCAGTTAAAGTAATTTACTAAACTAGTTTAAATCTCTATGATATCGATAATTTGCATACCAATCGTATGAGTAATATATGATTTGTTTGAAAAAGTTTTTGTAATTTTAAACTAAAATTAAAACTTATCTCACATTTCATTTCGCATTACAAGACAGCAAACGAGCGACTATTTTATGCATTACTTGAATCACTAATTGAGTACTCGCTTACAGATAACAGATATCCTATCATCAGTGGATACCATCAAGAATATCAATTTCATCCAGCTATAATAGCAAGTATAGATAATTTAAATAAACAACCGAACGATTAAATAAAATAAATTTTATTAAATGCCAATTAGCAAGCACACATTTAGTCCTCTACAGACTGATCCCATTGAGCCACGAAAAAGTTACCGGCTATGGGTTGACCAAGGTCGTATTGCTTGGCGAACGCGTTGATGTCAA